TCTCTTTACATATGTACACACAAAAAACTTTGTGTAATTACATACATGCATACATACATACATAGATACATACGTGCATACATACATACATACATACATACATACATACATACATACATACCTGCATACATACCTACATACAGTAAATACACATTATGCATTTGCCGTATGTGCATATGCATATACATATATATATATATACATACATATATATATATATATATGTGTGTGTGTGTATGTATGTATGTATGTATGTATGTATGTATGTATGTAGGTAGGTATGTATGTATGAATGTATGTGTGCGTATATATATATATATATATATATCATGGTATTCGGATAGTGAGTTGTTAAACATCTTTAAACTGTAACAGAGAGCAACAAGCCATGCCAAGCCCCAAACTCTAGGTCAGAGCCGCCAACCTCTAGTAACAGTAGGGCGCAAACCGTCTATGCAGAGGTGGATTTGGGGCGTAGGGATTTTCCATATAGAAGAAAATTCAGCAGGGGCTTAGAGGTATACCTCAGACCTGAAACATCCTGAAGCCATACATCTCTTCTTGTCCCTGAGTTGCCAAACCCGAGACTTTTTTGTTCAATCCGCCGCGTGTCTGTACAGGCCCCGCAGAGCAACTTCCCCATGGACCGGTGGTGGGGAGTCTCACTTTGCAACACGGGATCACGAATATGTTTGGGGCTTGTATTTGCTTTGGGGATTTTAGAAGTTTAGGGCGCTTGAGATTCAATGCTGAGGTGAAGCACCTTTGAAAGGTGACCCCAATTGCTGCTAAACTCTCCACGAGTAGCTACTGAAAAGCCTCGACCATGAGCTCTGTACAAGTCGAGACGGGTACTTCGGTGCTTCCCCAGGGTCGCCAGGCATAGCTTGCAGGAGCTCGCAATTGCAGGCTTGAGGGCATCTTAACGTGCAAGAATCTGACAGAACCCTGCAGCTAAGCCCGGGCAAAACCGGGATCAGCCATTAGGCCGCCAGGGTTTCCGCGTCTGCCAGGAGAACTCATGGCCACAGCGGCAGGTCATGTGGTCGCAGCCTGACTCACAAAATGCTCCGTAACTTCGACGCTAGGATGGATACTTGGGGCACCGTATGGCATCGCATCTGACTCTATATCCCACCCACTTTAAACCCTTATGAGCCTTCCCCCAAAACCCTGAAAGACAACCAAGGTCGCCGCCACCGTTCTTCTCGATGTACTCGTGGCACTTCGGGCATCGCTTGACCTTCACTCCGGCGACGGAAGCCTCCGCCACCTGCGGCCAAGGGCTGATCTGATTCTCCGAGGCTAGAGAAGCCAAACATAGCCCAAAAACGAGTGGGTACCCATAGGCTCTAAAGTAGTTCCTTTTTGGGGTTCCTATATAGAATCCTATAAGGTAACCCCAAAACGGAACTACTATGGGGCCTAGGTCCTGAACAACTGAGGCTCTCTGCCTCCTCTCCCTCAGGCAGCTCCGTCTCCTCTCCGAGGATTCCCTCGGTCGCGTCCCACTGGTGCTCGCAGATGAAGCACATCACCGTGTCGAAGCCCAGGTAGCCCAAGCCCACGCAGCCGGGCTGGGGGCAGTCGACCTCCAAGGTTCACTTTAAAGGGCTTTCTGGGGGCGGGCTCTTACCCAGTTTAGGGGTAGGGGTGTCGAGGTGCTTTGGGTTTGCCGGGGTGTGTGGTTGGGGCTTTTCGGGTTCTACTTGGAGTAGGGAAAGGGAGAGCCGGGCCGAATTCAATCCTGACCTGCCAAGGTCCCTCGATCCGAGGACAATTCACATACCATGGGACCATAGGCCCCATAGTAGTTCCTCTTTGGGGTTATACTTTATAGGATTCTATATATGAACCCCAGAAAGGAACTACTTTAGGGCCTATGGCAATGGACCTATCTGTTTGTCGACCTTCGCTGTCTGCCTGGGTTTGTTTGGTCCTTCTCTGGTAAACATGTGCAAGCGGTCCGCAAAGCATGCAAGCCTAGGTAAGTTCATCAACCCAAAACCTGCAGAAGTCGGGGGCTGATGCGATGCATGGGGGGGGCGCCTTAACCTACCCTGGGCATACTGTAGGCTGTAGGCCTTGATGCTGAAGCCCAATGCCTGAGCCGTCGTACAAAACCAAGCCGAAAACACCTGAAAGTCTTGGAGAACACAGCGGCCTGCACCGCAGGAGGATAGAGGCGGTTCTTCTGTAGACGCCCACGGCGATCGAGTTCCGCCACAAGCTGGGAGAGTCGTGGGGAGAACTTCAGCAGACGCCACCTCGAAAGCTTGGAGTTTATAGTGCCGGGATTACACACGCTTAAAAAACCGGGGCTCTTTCGCTGGACCCTGGACGAAACGAACAACCGTAAGGCTTTGGATACCGTGGTGGCCTCTGTAAAGCTTTAGCCGGGGCACAGCCAGTCTTCCTCGTGGAGATTGCTCTTGCCTGAAGCTTCCGCTTTAGATCGATGAGTGTCAGGGCTTGGGCTCCGGCTCTGAAGTTTGAGGTGGTGGTTTATAGGGCCATAGTGCATTCAAATAGTGTAACGGCATGGTTTCAAGTGGAGGGCGTCAGGATTTGGGGTCGAGGGCTCCGGGTTTGCAGCTTTTGACTGTTGGTCCGTTTGTTTAGGATCAGAGTCAAGAGTGCAGATGCACTGTTTGACTTAAAAGGTTTTGGGAATCGAGGTGGGGGCTTTCGGGTTAACAAAGGTGTCTTAGAGTCGCTTAAGGATGCTTACATTTTGAGGGGTGTTGGAACGGGGCACGCGGAATGGATTGACTGATTCGCGGGCTAAGTCAAAAAAACTATCGATGTGAGACTTTGGATTCAAGACCCCTCATTTCCCACAAGGCTTTGGATTCAAGACCCCTCATTTCCCACAAGGCAAGACATGCGAGTTTGCGAATGTCGTTCCCTAGGAGCACAACCGCTCGTCTCCCAACACGTCAAGTTTACATGTCAAAGCTTCGGGCCGGGGGAGTAGGGCTCGACACCTAAAATCAGGGTTTAGGGTTTAGGGTTTAGGGTTTAGGGTTTAGGGTTTAGGCCTAAACCCCTTCTAAAGGCCTGGGGGAGCGCTTTGTATATGAACATCGTATGCCCTTCTTCGAAGAACCTGACAGAGATTTTCTAGAACCTTAACACACCTGGCAACAGCTTACACAGCCCTTTTATCAAACCGGTCTGGCATTTTTTTATAAATCCTAAACCCGATAAACCCCAAAACCCTAGGAAGCTCGCTATCAGAGCGAAATAAATCTAAACCCGATAAACCCGAAACCCTACGAAGCTATCAGAGCGAAGGTGCAGCCAGGCCAGAGGCAGCGTGCCGGATAATGTCGGCCCTGGCGGCAGGCCTCGATCTGCTCCTGGGGCAAAGTTTCAAAGGGGTTTACGGGGTTTAGGGTTTATAAGGGTCGGGATTTAGGAATTTATAGGGTTCCTTTGGGGTTCCTACGGGTTGCTACTATGGCCACTACTATTCTTCCTCCGCTTCTTCATAGTCTTCTTCTGCTCGTTTTTGATCGCATGGTTGCTACCACGACTCGTACCGTGGAAAAGGCTACTAAGTGTGAAAAACTGGGTTTCAGATCGATGGGTGGTATAGGGGCACTACGTGAGTTTTACATAGTTTCGGGGATTTTCGGGTATAGGGTCAAGGGTCGGGAAGAGTGGTGCCAAAACAAAGATGCCGCCACGCGAAACAACCCGTGCGATAGCAGGGGTGCTGCTTTAAGGCAAAATGGTAGTTTACCGATGTGAAACGATGATTTCTGAATTATTAGTTCTTGTTTTGGGAGATATCCCTGCGCAACCTCGAAAGTTTTTGGGTCTTGCTTTCGTCATTGTTTTGTGTTTGGAACTAGTGTTTTGATGGTTTTGCCAGAGCACAAACATGGGTTTTGCGTTTGATGGCTCGGTTGTCCGGCAGCAAGTCTCTGGAGTTTTCCGGATAAAATTGCCTTTTTGGATTTCGGTCGGGGTTTGGGTTTGTGAGGCTTTGGTGTTGCCATGCCGCAGATAGCAGTTTTACTATACAAACAGTGATTTCTGCTTTATCAGTTCTTGTGGGAGGCATCCTTGCTCAATCTCTACTGTTTCCGGGGTTTCTCTTCGGCTTGCAGTGCTTCGCCAGGGCATGGGATGGTGGCTTGAAGCTTCTAGCTCGAGGGTTGCGGGCTTGAGCGCATGAGATTTTTGCTTGGAGTTTGAGGGTTTGGGCCGGCCAGGTACACTTAGCAGCTGTATTTTCGTTGCCTCTAGCTCCCGGGTGGTCTCGCCGCACACCCTCCCTGCAAAAAGCAGAAGCAACGCCAACGCAAACTAACTGGAGAGTCTATGGCAGCAGCAGTGGCAACTGCTGCAGCAGCAGCATAGCAGGGGTGGCAGTACATGGTTGTAAGACCATGCAGTAGAGGTGCAGCAGCAGTGGCAGCTGCAGCAGTAGCAGCATAGCAGGGGTGGCAGCACAACTTATGGTTGTAAGACCTTGCAGTAGAGGTGCAGCAGCAGTGGCAGCTACAGCAGCAGCAGCAGCAGCAGACAACTTGTCGCACTGCTACACGTAAGACTGCTCGGCAATGGACGTCTTCAAACAAAACGAAACTAGCCCGCCCCAACCCCACCCCCCCACCTCCCCCAACATCCCGGAAGCAGACCACAACAAGCTAAAGCAAGCAAAACCCGCAGGTCAAGTGGTAGTGCGTTAGCAAAGACAAGACGGCAGCTAAGCTTCGGCCTTTGGTGTGTTGGGCTTTGGGATCTGCTGTTTGGCTGTTTGGGGCGTTTGGAGGCTTTAGGGTTTGAGGTTGAGCAATTAGGCTGCAGGGCGGGGGGGGGCTGGGTACTTAGGATTTTAAGGATTTACGGATTTATGGCTTTAGCCTCTAAACCCCAACGGCCCTAACCCCTAAACCCCTTTGGGGTTGAAGCTTTGGGGCTTTTGGGCTTCTGGCTCTTTCTAAGGTCTTTTCTGAAGTCGGTGCAACTCTCCCAACTCCCGAGCTCCAAACCCTCCAAAAAAAGCAAAGCCTAACATCACCGATACCTCTTCTGCAATAGGATTCCCCATGGTTCCTTAGACCCAATAAGCCCTATTCTTAAGTACTCAAGGCCCTGTATTGCCTTCTTCTCCCCCCTCCTCATTCCCCCATTCGCCCCAATGCTCAAAAGCAGATCAAAAGAAACATCCCCCAGACCTCGCTCCTGGCCCCAGAGCGCCCAACAAGTTTGGCAGGCAGCATGATCCTTGGGGCAGCCCGGCGGGCGCAGTAGAACCATGGCGTCCTGCCGGGGGGCAGACTTCCGGGGGTTGAGGGTGTACCCAGAGGCCCCATAATAGTTCCTTGTTGGGGTTCATAATTAGAATCCTATAAGGTAATCNNAATCCCAAAAAAGGAACTACAATGGGCAGATGGGTAGAGGCTCGGGCTTCAGACTGCAAGACTTTAAAGGGCCCATCAGCTTTCTGCCTTTGGGGCTATGGTGCTATGGGGTGATCCGTGCAAGCCTTGGTAATCTGTCGCGATAACCCAGGGATTACACCAGCTGCAACTCTAGGCTTTCCGTGGCACAAACGTGTGGCGATTTGAGAAATTGGGTCCTGGCAGAATACGGACCTCAAAACAAGAGCGTCTGAAATGCCCATTTACACATGACACGTTGTGTTTACGGGGCCACCATTCTCTCAGCTTGAGCGTGCGTGAAGTGCTCCGGGAGGGGAGAGGCCGCGGGGGGGGGGGGGGGGGTGCGGTGAAGACCCCACTAAAACCAACAGGCCCGAAACTCTCGGGTCTTTCAGCCCGTCCTTAGCCCCAAACCTGTTGATCGAATAGAAGGGATTGGACACCGGAGTCATGTGATGGGGCATACAACCCCTAAATCACATAAGTTAAATTTAGCAGGTTGTTGCATCCACAGGGTTGATGGGTGCTGGGTAGTTCCTCATCGAATCTGGTGATCAATTGCTCGAACTCCTTGTTGCCCTCTCCCACCAGCCACCAGCCACCGAAAACTTAAAACTCCCCATTCTCGAATAACCCATGTTCAGCAACTCTCCAGCTCAAACGCGAGCCCAACTGGATTGAGGTCTAAGCAGTCTCTGTAAGTCTAGGTCCACGCACAAAACCCACTACCCAACACCACCTTAAAGCTCTCTCATACCCAAGACCGCAAAATTCTAAGCCCCCGAATAAGAATAAGCACCCCTGCTAGGTCGTTCTAGAAAAACCTAGCTATACAGCACCCCTGAGCTCGAACAACTAACCTGTAAAACCCCGTAAACCCTAAGCAAAGCCCCACAAGCCTTAAACCCCGAAAGCCCCTTTTTCAACGCAGCGCACCTCTCCACAGACGGCGCACGCGGGGGGCGGTCCGTCGCTCAGGAATCGTGGCACGGCGTAGGGATAAAGGCGCCTCGAGAGGTTTTGCGCATTTCGCTCTCTCTAACAAAGGCGTTTAACTTTAGGGGCAAAGAGCACCAAGAAACGA